AAAGATTCCGTTATTTGGTAGGGTACTTGTCATTAAGGCAATTTTTTTTTGTTCGATTAAAGAAGTATTCTAGAAATACTTTTGTGCATTTTCGATGTGCAATGTATTTCTGTTCTGTAGCGGTGTTTTTTTCCAGTAGAGGAGTTTTTTATTCATCTTTTTATGATATTTGGAGGAGTTTCTCTTTAATAAGAAAGAAAAGTTTTTTTTTTTTTTTTCGAACTTATGTAAGCTGTTGATTTTGCAGGATCGTGAGGCCTACGATAATTCACCATTTGCCCGAGTTGGCAATAATTTGCAGCTTTCATCTGGACAGCTAGAATCATACTTACGGGCTGAAGTAAGTGATATATTAAGGAATGCATATATGTATATGAATCGCTTTATTTTTACCGTACTTTAGGATTTTAATCTACTACATTCTGGGTTTCGTATATAGGACATCATTTTCAGGTGCGTTATCTGAAACGTCGGCATCTGATTCCACATCGCACGCTCACTTCAAGCGGAGTGAGCACAGGTAGCGGTGAAGGGAGTGCCGTTGTACAGCATTACGGGTCTCATTTTTCTTGTAATGTAGCATCTGGGAACGGAACAAATTCAGAACATGGTTATCGTGAGGCACCATTATCACCTAATAATAATGTGAGCATTACGAAAATTCTCGAAAAAATCTTAAACTAAATTATATTTAATCATATCATAGAAAAACAATGAATGGGTAATTGACTTTCAATCATTGTAAGCGACCTGTTTACACTATATCTGCAAATTAATCTGTGCGTATATAATTTATTATTTATGAAATTTTAGTCGGGCAGTGAATCAGAAGGTGAAACAAATATGCAAAAGACATCATCAATGAAGGACTTGTACGAGAAACCACAGTTTTCTCTAAAACAGGCGAGCTTTTGAGCCTTAAGCTGCATTTTTTTTTTTGATGGGTGATTAGTTCTACATAATTACCAAAATCAGAATAATTATACATATAATTGTCCTGCAAGCTCCTAGGCTCCTAGGCTAATATTGCCAGTTTTTCCATACGTTACCTTAATTGGTTGCATATGGTGGCTAGCAAGTTTACCTTGAAAAATATAGACGTAATCAACGTGAGCTGATGACTCACACTTACTAGGAATTCCTCGTTCAAGGGAAATAATTGCAATTCCCGATCCCGATCACGGAGGATTTTCAAGGGGTTACCAATACCTTTCGGTAATGGTTACTGTTTACGGGCAATTAAGAGCGTAACAAGTAGCTTGCATACTTCAGCAGATGTATAAACGCCTGTTGAAGTAAAACTACTGTTACGTTATTAGGCGGAGAAGAAGGATAGCTGTCAGACAACTTCAGGAAATAGGTAAAGACTGCTGCGTGATTTTGTTAAATTCCTGATTTTTCCTGTTTTCAGGTGATGATGATCTGCGAAAGGCTGTTGAAGCAGCAAGAAGTACGTCTTAGATATGAATATGAAACAGTATTGAACCAGCGTTTAGAAGGTAATTTTTGCTTATTGCATATTTGATTGAATATGTTTCTTACTTTTTTTGCAGCAACAGCTAGAAAAATATGTAATTGTATTATTGATTTTTATTTGGAAAACATTGCCATGCCACTCCATCTTTTCTGCCTTGTTTTTTACTTTCTCATAGGTTTCTTCCTTCAAGGTTGAGATGTATTTATTTCAAAGCATTCCAAAAAATAAATTATTTTTCTTTTTTTTTTTTTTAGAGCAACATGAGCAATATGTGCAATTTGCTCGCGAACAAATTGAGCGCCAACATCAAGATGATGGTGTAGAATTGTCTTATCTTTCCTAACTTTGAATTTCTTTTTTCATTCACGCTAATGATGTTGGGTAAATGATTTCATTTCCTTATTCGGTGGGTATTTGTCCGTTATGACAATTACTCTAGCGGTAATGTCTTATAGTTTATAGTTCGTTGATCCCTTTTTTTTATTATGCTCCTTTTATTAAAATTAGACATTTCTATACTTTTTCCCTTACAGGTGATTTTGTTTGCTTTTTTTTTTTCGAATTTAAGAAGTACATGAAATGGTTATATAATAGTTGAAATTCGTTATAAGCTATTCTTAAAAATTTCCCACTTCTTTATTAAGATTTCTGTGATTTGCGGAATTTTGTTTGATCATTTCTTTTTTTGTCTTTGTTATAAAGGATTCACTAGAATTAAATGCTTCTTCCGCTAGAATGCATGCAATCATGTTCATTATGTTGTGGAATACTGGAAAATCTTTCTGACAATGATGGAAGTAAATAATATGCATAATTAAAAAGTTAATGTTGTTAATAATTGTTTTAGATTGAAGTTTTATGAAATATTTAGTCCTTGTTTCGTTTAAAATATCAAATTAAAAATAGTGCTCAAATGATTTGTGTATCATTTGATCTTTTTCATTTTTACTAATTGCTATAGCTGATTGCGGTGAAATTATCCTAATAATGGAATTGTTTTAAATTCTGTTTAAACTTTGACAATGCCGTAACATTTTTCAAAACATTACATGTTCCCATACACAGTATCTTTCCGGTTTCTTTAAAAATTTTATTACAGCTGTTTATTTTTATACATACATATATATATATATACATGTTAACGAATAAAAATATTATTGATCGTTTTATGTGGAACATCATCATCTCTGTGACTGGTTTCGTTTATGTTCGCAATTAGCTTAAGTGATATGTCGCACTTTTTTTTTTTTTTTGTCATATGTATCACAGTTATTTCAATAAAATAGTTTTTTTCGAAATGTCCGAATTTTTTTTTTTCATGTATATTTTCATGTATATTAATAATTTGTAGAGGGCTTTTCAGTTGCTCAATCAGTTTGATAATTAAACTCTTATTTATTATTATTATTTAAAAATTTTTAAAAGCATAATATTTCTAAAATTCTAAATTTTATGTTACGTAATCAATCAATGCTAGATAAAATGATCTTTTTAATTTTATTGAAATTTCAGAAATGAAAGGATTAGTATGCTTTTTTACTGTTCTGATGATCAATGAAATGAAATGATGCAATTCGATGATAAACGATGAATACAAGAGATAAGCAAAGGCAGGCTGTTAAGTGTATGGTGTTGTACGTACGTATCTGATTTCATATGTCAATAATGAAGAAATATTGTGTAAAGTAGTGAAAGATGAGATAAAACTTCAAATAATAAATGGAAGAAGAAAGAATTTGATTTAAATGAAAGATGACAGATGACTGTCAAATGAGCAATAGGATTACATAGATATTTTAATGGAAGCATAAATAAGAAATGTGTAAAATAATATAATATAATTTCATTTTATTGAAATAATCGATTTTTATTTATTTATTTATTTTATTTCAGTCAATGATGTAAAATTGTCTTTTATGTTTATTTTATTTTAATGGTTAAAAAAATTTGAAGCTCAATGAAATAGACAGTATAATTAAAGGGTTTTAATTGTAAGGATAAAAGTTGAATTTATGTATAGTTTTATCTTTTAGATGATTATTTGGTTAAAAGTTTTTAATGGAAGCATAAATAAGAAATGTGTAAAATAATATAATGTAATTTCATTTTATTGAAATGATCGATTTCTTTTTTTATTTATTTTATTTCAGTCAATGATGTAAAAGTTGTCTTTTATGTTTATTTTATTTTAATGGTTAAAAAAATTTGAAGCTCAATGAAATAGACAGTATAATTAAAGGGTTTTAATTGTAAGGATAAAAATTGAATTTATGTATAGTTTTATCTTTTAGATGATTATTTGATTAAAAGTTTTAAACTACATTTTTTTTTAATATGCTTATTTTATTTTAATGGTTAAAAAAATTTGAAGCTCAATGAAATAGACAGTATAATTAAAGGGTTTTAATTGTAAGGATAAAAGTTGAATTTATGTATAGTTTTATCTTTTAGATGATTATTTGATTAAAAGTTTTAAACTTTTTCTAATATTTTATTAAAAGTTAAATTACATTTCTAATATGTGATTAATTAAGGAATTATTTTTGCTTATAGTTATTTATTTAATCAAATGAACAGTAAAATTTAGTAATTTCTCACATATTCAATGAAATATAGGGGCCTGGAAGTTAGCTTTAGTGAATGCCTTTAATTTTCAAATATTTTATATTTTTTAGTGAAAATATATTTCAATATTTTTCAGTATTTTTCTAGTTATAATAATAATAATAATAATAATAATAATAATAATAATATATAATAATAATAATAATAATAATAATAATAATAATAATAACAAATAATAATAATAATAACAATGATAATAATAATACAAAAATAATAATAATAATGATAATAGTAATAATAATAATAATGATAATATAATAATAATAATAATATATAATAAGAATAATAATATGAAAATTTTTTTTAAAAAATATTTTTCCATTTATTTTAACCAATTCAAATGGATTAATAATAATTGTAACTTATTTCAAATAAAATTAGAAAGTATGAAAAGATCCTTTATGATCTAAGAGATGTTTACTTGTTAATTGATAAGCTAATATCAAAATGTTATTTTAAAAGATAATAAAGAAGAAAAGATTTTTTTTTTTCATACGTAAACAAAATAACCAAACAAACTGTATTGTTAAGAAAATATAAAAAATTAATATAATATAAAAAAAATTATATATTTCTAAAGTTACAATAACAACAACAAAAAAAAAAGCGAAAATGAGGAATGCACATTTGGAAAAAAAAAACTCGTAGTATGTAAATAATAAAAAAAAAAAAAAAAACAAATAATTTCATTTTTATTTCAAATAAAATTTCAAAAAAAAATAAAAAAGCTTTGTCATCGATGTCAATGAATTTTTCATCTTTTTAGAAAATATGTATTTAACTTTTAAAAATTTATATTCATAATTAAATTTTTTTTTTTTTTTTTGCATATTCATGAATTAAATATCTATCATATTTTAAATTATATTCAGCATATATAGTTTGTCAAAATGTTTGCTTAAAGTGATTTCGGACGTTTAGTTACATAGATGAAACGTGAACGTGTTGAACCGGTTGTTTCATCCGGATATCCGGTTATTAATGGTTTTGATGTGGTAGTAATAGTTGTAGTAACAGTGGTGGTAGTAGTTATTGTTGCTACCTTTAATTTTATTCCTTCATTTTCGATTATGCTAATTTTGCTTTCTTCATCTTCTGAAAAATGTATGTAATATTATTATTATTATAATAAATTTGGGTATGAAAATATTTTATAATTTTTTTAAGGTTTAATTTTTTTTAAATTTTATAATAATTTCATTCATTTGAATTTTTGGTAATTATTTGATGAAAATTTACATTTTTATTACTTTTATATTATATTTATAATATATATATAATCATTTTTATCATTTGTTTAATTTTTTAAATTTTATAATAATTACTCATTCATTTGAATTTTTGATAATTATTTGATGAAAATTTACACAAAAAAAAAAAAATTATTTAAAGTTACTTTTTATATTACATATATTTTATACTCCTATTATCACTTATCAAAATAGTAATCACACTACTTTTATCACATTTTGTAATATTTGATTAGAAATGATGCTATTATAATGATTGCTTTGTATTAGTGATAGATAAATTTTAAATTACCAAAACTTAATTTTGTCTTATAAAAGTATGGAAAAATTAAAATTTAAAATTTATACTTTTTCAAAAATTAAAATTTATACTTTTAAAATAATTGATTAATAAATTTGATAATGTTAATCATTGCTTACTTTTACTATCTTTAGTATCACCAATTGCAATATGACGATTTTGTGTAAGATAATTTGCAATATTAGTAAGATGTTGCATTTGCATTTGATTGATATTATTTTCGTTAATTTCAGGAATTTGTTGTTGCTCTATTTTAGGATAAATTTCATCTTTATGTATTAAATCGTTTATTTCATCCTGAAATTTGTTGATAATTCATTTTTCTTTTTTCTTATCAAAATTATCAAATAAATTGTTGATTTAGGTGAGAGAGAGAGAAAAAAGCCCAAAAAAAGATATTAAATGTATGAAATATTGCAAAATTTTTTAGCTTTTCAAAAAGTTCATGAAAAAAAAAATAGAACAAAAAAAAAAAATTGATTTGATAAGAAATGATAATATTTAATCAAACTAGTAAGTAAGTAATTCACGCTTTAATCAAATTAGTGAGTAAGTAATTCATAAGTAAGTAATGCTTTAATCAAATTAGTAAGTAAGTAATTCACGCTTTAATCAAATTAGTAAGTAAGTAATTCAGATAAAATATGTAAATTCTTAAATGTTTTCTTTTTTGATAAAAAAAAAAATATAAATCTATTCGTTATGCAAATTATTTTATTTCATCTATTCGTTTTAATTATTTATAATTTAAAATTAAATTTTTACACATTTTACATACTTACTTTGATTTGATAAGAAATGATAATATTTAATCAAATTAGTAAATAATTAATTCACACAAAATATGTAAATTCCTAAATATTTTTTTTTGTGAAAAAAAGAAAAAAATATAAATCTATTCGTTATGCAAATTATTTTATTTCATCTATTCGTTTTAACTATTTGTAATTTAAAATTAAATTTTTACTTTTACTTTATTCTAATTATTAGCTAGTAATTTTATGTTCTATTTAAAAAGCATATAATAATATATACAATGAAATGATAAATGATAAAAAAAATGATAAGAAATTAATTCTTTTTTATTAAATATATTATCTTTTTTTCATTTTTTTCAAAATAAATTTTTTGAGGAAAAAAAATTTAACATAAATATAAAAAAACTAACCTCATTTTCTTGATTATTATTAACTGGCTGAATTTTTGATGTTAATTGATGATGATATTTTAATGATGATGATGATGATGATGATGATGATGATGATGATGATGGTGATGGCAATGAATTAATTTGAATTTTTGTTCCATCTGAATTATGATCATTATCTACAATTATTATATCTTCTAGTTCACTGTTTGCATTATCCAACAATAGCTTATCATCATTATCAGCATCATCGTTATCACTTGTATTAGTTGAACTTGAACTTCCAGTCTTGTCATTCGTTGAATCTAAATTTACATTTAAAATTTTAAAAAATGATTCATAGTTCTTTTTTTTTATAATCAATAATTTTATACTAGTTAGTATTAAAATATCGAAAAGTTGTTATCATTATTATCAGCATCATTGTTATCACTTGTATTAATTGAACTTCTAGTCTTTCCATTTGTTGAATCTAAATTTACATTTAAAATTTTAAAAAATGATTCATAGTTCTTTTTTTTTTATAATCAATAATTTTATATTAGTTAGCATTAAAATATTAAAAAGCTGTATGAAATTTTCAAAAAAAAAAGAAGAAAAAAAAAGTATTATTACATTTCATTGCTAATTAAAAATGAAAAAAAAAAAATCCTAAAATAAAAGTTCTAAAAGAAAAAGAAGAATTAAATTAAATAAATGAAAAGAAAGTTTTTTAAGTAAGCAAAAGCTAGTCTTACTAACATTTATATAATTTATTTTGAAAAGTTGCTTTTAATAACAAAATGAAAAGAGAGAAAAAAAAAAGTGGAGTAAAAAATTGAATAAATTAGATTTTAGATTTATATTCATTTAAATTAAAAAATTTAAATGAATATAATTTAATGCAAATTGAACAATATTATTTCATCTAAACAATATCAAAGATAAAAATTAAAATTTTATCTTTTGATTTGAAATGAAATAAATTTTGATATTAAAATTATTCTTTATCAATTACCTATATCTTCTTTATCATTTGGTATTTCATCGTATTCAATTACTGCTGATAATGGTGAAAGATGAAGAAATTGTTGTGGTATACTTTCATGTGGAATATTTGTTGGTTTATTAAATTTTGATTTAACATTTGAAATTCCACTCAGAGTTTTTCGCATATTCTTGTGATCACTGTCATGAATGGTTGACAGTAAGGGATGATTATTAATTAGTACTGAAATTTGAGTTGAATTTTTAGGTTTTTTTTCATTTTTTCCTTTTTTCTTCCTTTTTATTTTTGTCAATTGTTGTCGTTGTTGTTGTTGTTGTTGTTGTTGTTGTTGTTGTTTACTCTAAAAAAGGGTTTTTCATTTCTTTTGGAAACAATATTAAAAACAAAAATGTTTGTAGTAAGGTTTGAAAGAAATTGCAAAAAAAAAAAAAAATTTAATTTTTCAAAATTCTAACTTTTCTTTCTCTTTCCCTTCTCTTTCTCTCTCTCTCTCTCTCTCTCTCTCTCTCTCCTAAACAAAATGATTTGTGAAAAAGTTTATTATTATAAGAGAAATATGCAAAAATTTCTTCTAAAGCATTAATAGAATTTAAAATATTAAACAATTTATTAGAACCATTTGTTTTACATCAAGTAATTCCATTTCTAATGGACATGGACAGAAGATTGCATTAGCACCAGGTTCACCAATTGGTCCTCGATTACCTCTTGGACCAAAATTACCAGGAAGACCATCCATTCCTTTAACACCTTTTTTACCGTCCGGTCCTGGTGGTCCATACACATAATTTCTTTTACCTAAAAATTGTTGATTTAATTTTGAAATTACAATATTCTTAGTTTATTAATTGAAACATAAAATTTCTAATTAAATTTGGCAAGTGTTACCTCGAGGACCTTGTGGTCCAGTTCTACCAATTGAGCCAGGTAATCCTTTTGGGCCTGGTTCTCCAATACCACCTGTAGCAGGCTTACCATCTGGTCCTTTTGGTCCTCTCGTCCCACTTGTACCATTATATCCTTGTGCTCCTTCTAGGCCAATTTCACCTAAAAAAAAAAACAAACAAACAAACAAACTAAAAGGCTTGATTAATTCCTGCAACAAATATTGTTAAATTAAAACAAATACCATCTTGGCCATCTAGTCCAGGAATTCCAGGTATACCTCGATCACCTTTAGGACCTTGTATTCCTTGGTTACCAGGTGCTCCGGGTGGTCCACGTTCACCTTGTGGACAAATGATGCATTGTTGTTGTATTTCTTCTAATAATTCAAATGTACTTTTTCCTGGTAAACCAATAGGTCCATCATCACCTTGTTCACCATCCTCACCTGGATCTCCTAAAAATAAAATTAATTAAATCATTCAAATTTAATTTAATTTAATCTAATTTAAACTAAAGGCAAATTGTCATAATTCTATATAAAATATTCTAATTATTAAATACCTGGTGGTCCTGGTGGTCCAGGTTCTGGTGGTGGACAGGTATTTATTGATTTTTTCCTACGTAACAATTCTTGACGTTTTTGAGCAAGATTGATATCACCTATATCAGCTAATATCTATAAATAAAACTCATCAAAAGTACAACACATTTTTATGTTTTATTTTTAAGTATGTTTTATTCTAAAATATTTCAGTTCATTTTTTTAATTCATTTTAAAATAGCTAATTGAAACAATTAACTAAAAAGTAAAATGTAAATTATTTTCTTCTTCTTCTTTTTTTTTTATTTTTATTTTTTATTTGATAATTAATTTATAAGTAATTAGCTAACCTTAAATAATTTCATACGTTCCTCAATATCATTTCGCATAATGTCAGTACGCTTGAAAAATATTGGTAATAAAATTAATTGTGCTAATATTGTAAAAGCACTAATTAAAAAAGTTAGACCAGCTATGGTACCATAAAACATCTAAATGTATATGCATTTTATAATTTAAAAATTAGGATAACACTATGTGAAGTAATTAAATTTGATAAGCAAATTAAACAATAAGCAAATTAAGATGAAACAATAAAAAAAAAAATTATTGAATTTAAGCAGCAATGAAGTTGAATAATTTTAGTAGTAAAAAAAAAAGGGAAAAAAAAAATACAAATGTTAAAAATTTTTTTTTTAAGACATTAAATTTTTCAAAAGAAATGAAATTAAGTAGTGCCTCTCAATTTTAATTGTTATTTTTGTTTTTTTTTAACTTTTTTTTTTTAATTTAAAATTAATTAATTTGTAATGAATCATAAACAGAACATAAAATAAACATAACTTTGAATGAATGAATGAATAAATGAAATACAAAATAAATTAATTAAAGTAAATTTTCAATTGACAATTTTAAAGCAAATTTTCAATTGACAATTTCAATTTTCAAATAAATTAGCAAAAGTGGAAAGTTTAATTTCAGTAAATATAAAAATTAATTTTACATGTAATTAATTATTGCTAATTATGTTTAATTATAAGTATTTATTAATTGATCATTTAAAAATATAAAAAATGAGCAATTTAAAAAAAAAAAAAAAAGATTTTTAAATAAATAAACTGTCAACCGAGAGTTGACACGATATACAACAGAAATACAAAATAAATTAATTAAAGTAAATTTTCAATTGCAAATAAATTAGCAAAAATGGAAAGTTTAATTTCAGTAAATATAAAAATTAATTTTACATGTAATTAATTATTGCTAATTATGTTTAATTATAAGTATTTATTAATTGATCATTTAAAAATATAAAAAATGAGCAATTTAAAAAAAAAAAAAGATTTTTAAATAAATAAACTGTCAACCGAGAGTTGACACGATATACAACAATGGACAATGTGCCATGATGGACACTATCGTTACCATTTCTTTCTTTCCTTCTTTTTTTTTTTTTTTTTTTTGTAATTCAAAATTATGAGAAGTAATTGGAATGCCTTTCTATCACTCTGAAACAATTTCATCTAAGAGAGAGAGAGAGAGAGAGAGAGAGAAGAGGGAGAGAGATGACCTGGTTTGAAATAAATGGAATTCCTCTTTTTTTTTCCTTTCCTCTATTACAAAAAAAAATATATATAAAGTAAAGTTTTGAAGAGAATATTATCAATTATTTATCTCTTCATTATCATTCCCTCTCTCTCTCTCTCTCTCTCTCTCTCTCTCTTTTTATTTCTTCAGATATAGAAAAAATTTTTTTGGAAGAGAAAGAAAGATAAATGGAGCAAAAGCTATAAATAATGATCTAATTAATTAGATGAATTAATTAAATTAAAATAAAATGATTGATAATAAAAAAGAAATAAATATGAAAGAAAGAAAGAAAAAAAAAAGAAGAAAATAAAATTAATAAATTATTATTGTTAAAAAAAAAAAGAAGTAATTAATTTTTTTTTTTAAATTTAAATTGCAAAAAAAAAGAAATATTCGTTTGCATTTTATTTAATCCTTCATTTTAAATCCATCTATTTTTCAGCATTATCATTTCAATATTTTTCAATTAAATTTTAGAAATTTAAACGGTAAATCCAAAAATGTGTCAAATTTTTATAAGGTAGAAGAAAATTAAATTTAAAATATTTCTTGTTGAAAAAAAAAAAAAAGAAAATATGAAATGAATTTTTTTTTTCTTCCGAATAAAATTATTAATGCATATATTATTATTATTATTAATAGTTTAGTTAAGAATTATTTAAAACTTGAAATTTAACAAAATTATTTGAAAATTATCTAAATTAGAAATCATATATAAACTTACATGCATACATACATGAACATACATACACATACAAACTTACATACAAAACATACAAGTATAACATACAACGTCGAAACGTTAATTTCAATCGAACTATTTTTTTTTATTCCTTTTAAAGATTAAATATTTTTCAGATTCAATATATTATATTTAAAATTCATTCATAATTTCAAATAGCATAGTTAAAAATTGAAAAATTCAAATTTAAAATCCAAACGATGATTGAAAATTTATTCATTTCTTTGCTTTTAAAAGGTAATAGTTTAAAAGCAACATTCTCTTTCTTATATTTTCAAAGTTTAGAAGAAAGAAAATTTTAATAATTTTCATTAAAATGAAATTAGGTAAGATATTAGAAAGGTTCAGTTGAAGTATTCCAAAATTATTGCTATCCATTTATTATTTATTTAAAAAAAAAAAAAAGATTGTTAATTACTTTCATTTCTTAAATTTGATTAATTATATCAAAGATTATGAAGAAAAGAAAAATATGCTTTTTGTATTTTTTAAATTTCTGTTTTCAATTATTTTACAAAAATTTTTGTTTATTTTATTAAATCATTTCTCTTTTTTTTTTTTTTTTGATTTTGCCTATTATTTATACAAATAATCATAATTCACTTTAAATATTAATGGATGAATATTTAGAATTATTATTCCATTTGAATTTGAATGTTTAAAAAAAAAAATTCTGTATATAAAATAATGATTTCATATTATTAATTAATTTTTTTTAATTAATTAATACTGAAATTATATTAGACTCAAATGCATTTTGAAATATTTACAGGCATGAAGATAGAAATATATTAGGTGGCGTACAAATAATTGACGTTACGTAATACACGTAACTTGTTAAGAACGTCCATTCTGCAATGTTTCTGTGCAAAAATATACCAAACGATAAACCGTAAATGTTGTGATAATAGCATAAAATTTGCAATATTAAATTTGGGATAAAAAATACGAACAATATTTAGAAGAAAAATATTTACATAAAAATTAAAAATCAAATTTGAACTTTTGCAAATATTTATTAGACAACAATTTTAAAATTACAACTTAACATAGCAAACATTGATTAAAAGTAAAAGCTCAAAGTAAATCAAAAAAAAAAAATTCATTTCTTCAGTTTAATTTTAAGCTTGTAAATAGGAAAACAAAATTCTAAAATTATTGCAAATTTTCTAGAAATTTTTTAAAAAATTTATTTTAACAAAAATTAAAAAGATTTTTTATCTTTTAATATCACTTTTTTTTTTTTTTTTTTTTTTGGAACATCATTTTGATTATTCATACCTCAAATATTCATTAAAAGTTTCTTTTAAAAGAGAATATTGTCATATTTTTTTGTCTTTTAATAAATCAATCATTGATAATATCTTATCATATCACATCATATCATATTATATCATTTAAATCT